TGTGTTTTGAACATCAAAGATGACATGTCGTGCATATCGGAGAATATTGATGATCTGGATATATGTAGTCAACATTGAGACCCATTTCCGACCTATCATCCATCATCTCCAAATCTGCATGTGATATTCAAAATGACATGTTTTGATTATCGAGGTATTTGACAAACTATCTTGTGTGGAGCTGAAAGGTTTGTTGTGGAAGTAATTCATCCAGTAAACGAATATCTTCCGTTACATTTTTTGGGCACAATCGTCGTAGTGGGATCCAATTTTTTTGACGAGAATACGTCTCCAAAATCGTAACCATAGATTTATAATAAAACTGGGAGACTGAGTTTGGTCTTACAGCTAGCTACATATTTATCATTCCCATCCAAATTTTACTTTCACCACTGGATAGCTGAAGGATCAAATATTCGGTATGTTGAGTGTCCCTGATATCCGGCGAGAAGGAGGAAAAAGCCATGTGGAAGCTATTCTGCTGCGTTTCTGAATTTACATTCATGAGGTTGTTTCAAAAGTTTTGTCCATTTTTATGTCTCTAATTGAAACTGACTCAGTGAACTTTTGCCAACATAACACAAGTCGATCGTTTTTAGTCTAGTTCACATGTACTTTTTTTTTAACATTTTTCAGCCCTGTCCAAAAATTACGACCAAGGTGTCATTCGATTCGTATTTTTGCCTAGAAAGTTTAAGGAAAGGTCCGAAAACGCGCCGATGAAAATTACAAAAGTTATAAACAATTAAGTGAAAAAAAGGGGCTTTAGTTTTTTCTTAATATCTCGGAAAATTTTCAAAATTTTGAAAATTTGAAAAAAGATTTGAAAAGATCAATGAATTTGCGTAAAAAAAGTCCCGACTCCCGAAACTGTACGTCGATCATTTATAATTTTTACAGAGCCCTGAAAATAAAGCCAAAAGCGGGTAGTCTGGCTTCCGCGCGCCTTTCGTTACTCTATTGGCTTAATTTTCAGGGCTCTGTAAAAATTATAAATAATCGAGATACAGTTTCGGGAGTTGGGACTTTTTTCACGTAAATTCATTGATCTTTTCAAATTTTTGTGAACCAGACTATTTCGTCAGCATAAGAATTGGATTCTCAGAATTCGATGGAATCAATGTCCCGACTGGCGAAGGTTTCACTAGTGAGGAATTCATCGAAGTTCTCAAAATGATGGTAGTCGGTGGGGGAGAGGTCTGGGAAGTATAGTGAGTGGAACAGAATTTTGATGTTCAATTCATTTAATTTTTGGACGATGATTTGTGAAACGTGCAGATGGGTATTTACATGAAGCAGGATCGTACCTCTTCTGTTAACCAGTGCCGGTTGCTGCTAACACCAATTACGGATAGTCACGTGTGATGAAAAACGGAAGATCTTCCTCTTGAAGATGATCACTTGGAGATCGGAACACGTGTCGAGGTTTTGAAACAATGGTTTGGTGTTGGGGAAAAAAGTTCAGTGTATTCATTTCTACTCCAAAGGTTCCAAACGGTGCATCAAATGGTAAATAAATATTGATTATAGATTCAGCAACTATTCAATAAATAGTTGCAGTAAATATTTATAAACGGGTTACATTGCTACATTCCAAACCGTAACTGATATGAAAACGATTCAATGGAAAAAAGTTATTATCGTGGAAAATTGTTCAATGACCAAAGAGAACTTATAAGAACTTCCGGCCTTCACTTATCATACAGAGAAAACTAAAAATCCTTTGTTTGTTTTTTTTTTGGAATAGAATTGATATTTCAGAGAATATAAATAGGAGGATGTGACAAATTTTATTGATTTCAAAATTTACTATTACGATGTAACACTAAATCTGTGATTAAATGTTTCGCGTCAACATGGCCATAATCAACACGGACCTGTCCCTCTTATTACAACTATTCATGAAGCAAATATTTCAGAATTTAGTGGTAAGTCACATTTGACTTTTTATAACATTCATTTGAAATAAATTAGATCATCAGTAACAACAGAAAACAGAAAAACAATTCATTCTATAATCATTATTTGAAAGAAACTAAAGCCAGTACAGAAAATTAGTTCTACATGACAAACTACATTGAATGTTCGAATGGGGAATGTTCCTCCTGACGAAAATCAAGTAGTTTTCATAAAAAAGCTCAAAAAACAACGCATTTTGAACTTATCATTTCAACCTTTTTCTTCAAAAAATTATTTAAATACTTTAAAAAGAGGAATGAAATAATGCATCCAACATTCAAAGGGATTCGTTTCTATTTCACCATTTGGCAACATCGGTTATAGCTAATAAAGGACAATGAATCTGTTACCTGTATGAGACAAACAAAGATGACATATTTCAGAGGCGTGCTGTTCTGTTCACTTATGTTCCGAGTTCCGAGACATTCTGTCACATTATGATATTTTGTGCACCTAACCTATCTTCCTCTATATAAATAAGTAACAAAACAACTGTTGTTTATGTGGCTTGTGGAAGTAGTATTGAACTATAATTTATATTTTGTCTTAATTGTTGAGTTATAAAGATGATTTTCCTTTTTTAAAGTAGAATATCTAGGTACGTATAAACTTGATATAGGCGCTGTTGCCAATATATGAATTAGAAACAAATCCCTTTAAAAATTAAAACCCAACATCGGAAACATCAATTTGAATACTTTTCGAAGTGAATTTGAAAAACTCATGAATTAAACTCAACTTTATTTCGATCAAACTTGCATTTGCTGTAATAACCCAAATTGAGGAACATTCCCCATTGACTGCCTTTTTGGTGAATACACATAAATTTTCTGTCCTTACAATTTCTGTAGCAGCTTTCTAGCATGGTGAGGAAGTTCTATTGCATTTTAATAATGATATTATATTTTGTTTGAGATAGTCGACATCTGTGTTACGTGTTTTGGTACAGATATCTGTACTGTACTAGGAAAGATCTAGTTAAATTATTTGTTCCCAAAATTCCCAACTAAACGTTTATTTCGAACCTTTCCTAGAAATTAATTTTCCTATATAGATGTCCATTCCTATTATCCTACCTATGATAGATGTTCTAGTCAAAAAAAATATTATGGCGAATTTTGATTATTCCATATTAGTTTTTTACAAATTTTCCCAATTTCTACGTCTCAACTACTGAATCACTGAATTCACATTTCAATCTTCATGAGAAAATCCTTGCTCACCCAAAACATTCATTTGGTTTGTCATATTTGAAGTCATAACACTCTTCATAATTTTATTTCTTTTGAATGAACCATATTTTCTAAAATTTCTTTCAAATCATCTGAACTTTTGGATGTTCGAAATACAAAGAATTGAGTTTACATATTTCTTGCCAAGAGAAGAGTTTCATTCGATATTTCTTGGGTTAATAACATATCAGTCTTTTTGTCATTTGAATATATCTTTTATGTGTAACCTCAGCAACTTTTGATGCTCCATAAAGCTCAGATCAGTCTTCTTTGGTGTATTGGTCTCATGTAGGAAGGAAGCTCCGGCCCTGTGCATACTCTTATGCTGCTGGATTTCATCCAGAAAAGAGCCATTCACCTGATTGGAGACTAACATCACTTGCAAACTTGATACTGGAACATCGAATGAAGGTTGGAGATTTGTCACTGTTTTATAGATACTTCCACAGGAGATGTCCAATTGACTTGGCATATTTAATTCCACCAAAAGCGGTACATATCAGAAATACGCGTCGGACTGTAACTGATTATCTTCTTGACGTTCAACTCAGTACACCCCGACCTCCAATGTTTAAAAACTCTTCCATTTAGAGAAGTGCGTTTATGTGGCATTTATGTTTTTCGAAATAAATTTAATTTCCAGCGATTCAAATCCAATGTGAATCTCTACTCACGCACAGGCACCGCTCTTAGAGGGCCTCGAAGATGTTTCTGTAGTTTTGCATTCATTTGAGAAATGAAGGTTTTTCAGTGAAATTGCTTGAATAACCAGTTTTTCGAATAATGGAAAACTATGCTTTGGAATTTTAAATCGTTTCTCATATTAATTTTTTACGTTTTTGAAATCAAATACCAATATACTTTGTTTTACAAATGGATCTGAAATAATTTCTGAATCTAATGATTATTTCAAATTTTTTTCCAATATTCAATAATTATGCCAATATGCTCAAAGGTTTGTTGACGTTGAAACAAGAAAATAAATACCACAGTGCTTATTTATATAACAGGAATCATTCATGTTACGTGAAAAAGCAACTGAATGAACAGTTCGGCGCTTTTGGCAAACAAAAATTCTGCTTCGAAAAGATTTCCTTCATTTATAGGGCAATATTTTCGATGTTGGGTTTTATTCTTTCCTTTTTTCCAGTTTGCAAATGAATTGGAGCAGAGCTCTACATTTATCAGCGAGAAAGCAGAACATATGCATAAAAAACGGGCTGTGGATGCGAAAATGGGAAAAGAGAGGAAAGGAATATATTGTTCTCTACAAAATTTATATTTTCTCTTCGGAAAGCATGGGGGAATATGTTCACTTACTGGATTCCACTTACACTTTCATGAAATGACTGAAATTTTTCATTCAGTTCCCGGAATCGACGCAAAAAGTAGATGGAAGACAAAATCACTGTTTTTCAAAATACTTTGAGAAGTGATTACAATAATATAACAGAAAAAATTAGGTTATTTCAATAGTTTCGTCTGTTTATATGAGTCTCCTTCAAACTGTAAATTGAACGACATTTGAATCAGTGCAGTTTTGAAGGAAGCAAAATGAAAATTGTGTATTCGGGATTCGATTAACTCGACGAAGGCCGTTTTTGCCTGGTCCTGGCGATAGTTCTACCCACCCACTTGCTTCCTCCTGGGTCGAGTGCCCTGAGTTGAAATTTCCCCTACACGATTACTGTGTGCAGAACATCCCATCTTTTCCATCCACCCCCGCTTCTCCGGAGCAACTCTCAACTTACTGATAAGCTCTTCAGCAAGATTGACACGTCTGACCTCTTTCAGTCGAAATCTAATCTAATGACTTGGAAAGATGGTAGTCGGTTGGCAAACGGTCTGAGGAAGTGTGTGGAACAGAACTCCGACGCTCAACTCGTTCAATTTTCGGACGGTGATGTGTGCGTCTATCGAAAACATACGCACACGTATAGGTACCTGCATGTACTATCAAACCAACATATTAGTCAGAAGGAAGAAGTGATCTCTACTCTAACTGAACGGACTCAAAAAATATGTGAACCAGAGCATCCAGGGGAAGAACTGGAACATCTTCAAGTGACCTTCAGATCGAATGGATACAGTGTATCCGAAATCAACAAAGCCATGAAACTGAAGAGTTCCACTGTTCAAAACGGGGAGGAGACTCTGATGGTTACACGCGCGTATCTAGCGCATATTTCTAGTATCACAGACAGAATTGGAAAACTTTCAGAAAAACACAATACCAAAACGGTTTTCAAACCCACCAAGAAAATACAGCAAATCCTCAGGTGGGCTAAAGGGAAAAAAGATCTTCTATCAGCAGCTTTATCGCATACGATATATCGCATACCGTGTACATTTGGGACAGTATACATCGGAACCACCAAAAAATCCATGGAAGTGAGGTTGAAGAAGCATCAAACAACATGCAAAGTAGGTCAAACCTACAAGTTAGCTATGGGGGAACACACAGTCAGTGAAGTAAACAATAGGGTTATAGTTGGAAAACACTGAATTCATCTGTGTTGCCAATATTTTTCAACCCATTAAGCCGAAGGGTTCTGACTGAGGAACGTATCACTGATCTAATTGTGCTGTAGCTGTTGGTGATACGTTCGCCACCGCTGTTTCCTCTCCAGTAATCACGGATGCAATGATTCTTCCCATCATTGGAACAACGGAATGAGGAATTTGAAGTTAAATTTCTTGAAACTGAATCAGATATATTCATGGTGGTTTTTTCGAATTTGGGAGAGGAAGATAATTCCAGAATTTGTTTATTTTCCTCTGCATCTTCTGAGACAATTGAGAAGTGATCAATTTGCTTACTCTATTTTGTGATGTTCATAGGAAATTTTGATTTGATTTGTGAGTTCAGGAATATTTCATGTATTTGAGCAGATGGAAGAGTCCCCAAAATCGATGTGGCATTACCCCTTTGAATGGCTATACTGATTCTTCGAATTAAAAATGAATAGGCTCCGTTGTCATTGGTAGAATTCATCATTCTTGTACGAATTTTTTTCCAAAATTCAGAAGCATGAGATCCAAAAACACCAAAGGTTTCAATAGCAACAAGAAATAAACAGTAGGTACTTAGCAAAGTGGAGTATTTCCGAAATTTTGATTTTCCTGCAATCATAGCAGCTGCACCAGTGAAATTTGACGTAGCGGCAAGGTGTGAAACTGCAACTGTATCCACAGTTGCAGTCCCAAACCAGAGGTTTTCCAAATTTCCAAGGAATTAGACTCATCCCGTCTGGACGCTTTCCATCATCTCGACTAACACCAAGGGGTTCAAGAACTGAAGGAACCTGAACCTCTGCAGTGGCTAGAGCTCTTTTTATAAGATCTTAGGCCATGGTTACCATTTTCTTCTACAGTGGTTCAACATCTGCATTCATGACTAAGACAAATTGGAGAACCTAACCAAAGACCTATCGAGATCCTAGAAGATGCATAATCTAAGAGGGGACCCAAAGAAGCCACGGGAAGAGCATTCAGCCAGGCACCAGATTCTTTGGACATAACAGCTTTGAGTCAAGCCATTTGAATATCGGAACGTTCAGCTGACTCAAGAAGTTGATGATGAACCAAATTGATCATTGGATAATCCCTGGCTTTCTGACACTTTTTATTTCCGTGAAGGGTATTTTTCGTTTGAAATAACCATTTATTTTTACCATTCAAGTAATACGCATCGGAAATTTCAGAAAAAGATTTGGAAATAACGGAGTTTATCGAATGACGAGAAATGTTATAAGAGGAAAGAAATGCTGGCAGTGAGAGGGATGAGGCTAATCGAATACCTAAACCACCAGAGTTAACTGGGAGAGTTGCTTGACTCCAAGTGATATCTTCGAATTTATTATTGGTAATTTTTTGTAAAGATTGGCGTGAAGTGGAATCGAATTCTTGTTGACATAACATTTTGATATATCCAAGTTGGACTGCATCTCAAGGTATACAATAATTTGGGGATTGCCAAACAGTATTTCAATAGAAAATATGCTATATGGAAAGGAAGACCATTGAGACGAGATGACAGTAGAATTAGAGACTCTGTTTACTGTGTGAGGCAACGTGATGAAGACTATACAGAGAGAGGAGCTCCTAGTAATGACAAGTGTGTTTTGGGAACAATTTTAATTTGTAGAGAAATCATCGTGAAAGGATTTGTAATCATCTGAAAAGGGACAAAAATTTCACATTTGTCGAGATTTAATTCAAGTCCAACATCATTATTTTTTGAAATTCCTGGAGAACAGAATCTATATTACCACCAATAGAGAAAATATTTCTGAAATGCTCAGAAATTAGGGTGCTTCTTATTCTTATTTGAATTTTGTTTTATATTTGATCAGTATGCGTGTCACCCTCTCATCCTGTTCTAAGGTACCAAAAACTGATATATATGTTTTATTTTATTTTCAAAGTATTATTTAGGAGTCGCTACCAGCGAATGAATTTTTTTTTGAAAATTCTTCAATTTAATTGGATTCTAAAAAAGACAAGCATACAAAAATTATATAACTATTAGGATAAAGTAAATTGTAACTCATGCTAATAAAATATATTTCTTCGTATCAGGATACTTATGCCTGAAATTTTTCACAACCAAGAGAAGGAATTGTTTTTGTTCTTCGTTTATGGTAATTATTTTATTAAATTCTTCAATCAATTTTACACCGCGTTCCGCAATGTCGTTCACCACGCTTATAGAACGTATAATTCCTCTGGAAGCTTTGTAGTCTTCATCTTCTTCCCAAAGACAAGGTTTTTTTGCAAAACGTGTTGCTGATCACAAAATCCTCAATATTTTTTTCTTCGATATGACTTGGATCCAAGGTGATTCGCTTTGGGTTATAGTATGAATCTTCTTGATTCAGTGCAATCACTATTCTTTGATTTCTTTCAAGAGAAACGTCGTTATCAAAAAAGCAAGAGCAAGCTTTGCTTTTACAGGGCTATTCAAATTCGTTTCTGTATATGGGGATCTCCTAAACGATAAGAGATAGTGTCGGTTAAATTGTGCCAAAGTTGCGTATTTTAGAGACCTATTCAATGATGTAAAAAAATTGAATATAGCTATTTTGGTTCTGTAGATATACAGAAAAAACCAAAAAATCCCAAATAATATTTTTGCCTATATCTCCTTTATTCGCAGACATATTGAAAATCTGTCCACATTTTGCTATTGGCACTTGATGTGGGCTCTCAGAATATATCCATGAATCTTTTATACAGGGTGCCATCTGACTTGGGCCATCCCCATCTTTGATTTTTTAAATAAGGACCTGTATTTTTGGATTGTAGACGTTCACTTCATACTGAGAAATTAAATACGCAACGTTGCCCCAATTTAACCGACACTCTATCTCTTATCGTTTACGAGTTCCCCATGTACAGAAACGAATTTGAATAGCCCTGTATTTTCAAAATTCTTAAGATTTTTCTACAGGTTATTCCTTGGTGCTGAAAGTGCCACGGGAGCTTGGAACCAGCATTTTACATAAATCGTAACGACGAAAACGCAAATTTAGTAATGGCTTCAAGTTATTTTTTTGTCCGTTTAAACTGGTCTCTGATCATAATATGAGTATCTTTGTACGGAATAATGTAACTAGTTTCATTAGTATTTTTTATCATGTATAATTGACGAATATAACACTGTTTTATGTACATTGATCAGCAGTTATCATTATCATAATTTTTTCAAACTTTGACATGAGATAGCAACCCTTAAAACATATCTGAGAAATGAATAAAATATATAGGTTCGTTTTTTGAGTGCGAGAAGCGAATGGCGGGCTGATGCAGTAATTTTTCAAAAGTCGAAAAATAAGAAGCAGCCTATTAGAAATCAATAGATTCAAGAATTCTGGTAATGTATTGAATGATCGATTAGAATCGAATAACTTCCCGTTACTGAATATTTTTTGAAATGTTGAAACTGGGACATGTCAGTTCAGATAATTTAATTCATTACAAACTCAGGTACTTGAAATGTAGGTACTTCAAATTGTGAAATTAGATGTACTTAGCATCGAATAAGCAGAATATACTTCAAAAATATTATCTATCCTGCAAAATCTCATCAACATGAAACACTTATTAAAAGATATACTCAGACCTGGAGTGACACCACTCCAGACTCAACAATATATCAGTGGTATGGAAAGTAACTGTGCTGGATCTGACAACATTTCTCTCATTATGTGGAAGTATATTGAAAATTATCTCATCAACCACATCACACACATTTTCAAATCCTCTATAGAAACAAATCATTTTCCTTCTGCATGGAAACATGCAGTTGTACTTCGTTTGCCAAAATGTGAAAATCCAACTGAATTATCCCATTTGAGGCCAATTAGCAAACGACCTATCCTATCTAAGGTGTTCGAGCGGATTCTGAAAGATCAAATTGATTCTTTTGTATACAATAATAATTTAATAACAAATGTTCAATCTGGATTTCGTACACTCTATAGCACCACCACCGCTCTTGTCAACATCACCCAAGATTTATTCAAAACAACTGATAATAATGACTGCCATGGTAATCTTGGACTACAGTAAAGCATTCGATACATTAGACCATAATATTGTCAAATATAGGAAATAAACATGAAATAATTCAGATTCATTTGAGTAAATATATGAATTGAAAGATATTCCAACCTCACTTCAATATTTTAACACAAGAACACTCAGTATTCAGAATTCCATCTTTTGATATTTCAAGTTCATAGACATCGAAATTGATCCGATCACAGGATATGGAATATAAAACAATCTCCAAATATGCAAACTTGGCACAGATTGCATGCTGTGCATTTTACCTCAGTACAGTGACCGGATCAAAGTCGCAATGTCAGCGTATAATTCTTTATAAATATTGAGGGAGGTCAAGATCATGCATCATAGTTAAGAGTTAACAGTTAACAGTCAACAGACAGCATTCATTTACGTATCGATTGGGTCTTCAGAAAATGCAGCACATCTCCTTTTCTTCAATCCTGCTGGGTGGCAGTATTATGTAAGTTTTTTGATTATTTTAATGTATTTTTTCTTATTAACATTTGAGTGTGAGTTTATTTAAAGTATTTTTTCCGTTTCTTTTACAATAAACATTCAATTAAGTTTTAAATGAGTTCTTTTATTATTTGAATGAATGAATGAATGGGTGAAACAGCGAATAAAATCCTCTCGTTAATAGCCAAGCGAGAACTGAGTTGCGACAATATTCTGTGAAGGAAAATGTCATTTCTCGGATTTAGTGAAGGGACTGTAGATCTATTGAAAAGTTACCTCAAAAATCAGACTCAGTCAGTATGTCTGGATAGAAAGTGTTCTAGTGCTCTACCTGTTGATTATGGAGTACCTCAGGGCTCTATCCTTGGCCCAATTCTGTTCTCTCTATATAAAGCTGACTTCCATAAAATGATTGATCATTGCACAGTTCATCATTATGCAGATGACACTCAGTTATATTATCGATTTCCTCCAAG